TATTTTCAAATAAATTCAAAATAATATTTTAATATAGAATAATAATATATTAAAAATTTTATATTAATATTATATTAATAATTAACAATTTTATTTAATAATAATAATAATAATAATAATAATAATAATAATAATAATAATAATAATAATAATAATAATAATAATAATAATAATAATAATAATAAGGAGAAGAAGAAGAAGAAAAAGAAATATAAGAAGAAGAAAAATATGAATATTAATTGAAATTATAATGATAGAAGCTAAAATTTTGTTGTTGCTTTTGTTATGTATAATTAACATAGTAATAATTATAATTATATTTATATTTATATTTATATTTATATTTATATTTATATTTATATTTATATATTTATACTTATATTTATAATTATAATTATAATTATAATTATATATATTTATATTTATATTTATATTTATATTTATATTTATATGTATATACATATATATTATATATATGTATATATATACGTTTGTATATATTGTGATATGCGTAACACGTACATATATGAGCTCGTGAATGTAATGAGGAAGCATATACGGGTATACGCTTATCACTTATAAATATATATATTTGATAAATATATATTTATATATATTATATCGGTGTATCTCATTACCATATGTATATAATTATTAATTAACACATTCTTTTGTACAAGTAAATTAATAATAAGAATAAGTACAACTTCGTAGCAAAGAGAGATATAGAATTATTATTATTATTCACTGTATATTTTATCATCGTAGAGAGAAGATATATATGTTTTATTTAAAATTCACTTTATATAATAATTTTAATAATAATAAGAATAATAGTAATAATAATAACAAAAATAATAATAGTAATAATAATGATATTCTTTCATTACTTTTATTATGTTTCAGATAGAATAATAAATATTTAGATTCTGACAAAGTGCCATTTTTGAAATAGGCTTTTGGAAATGGTTCCTGCCATATGACAATTATATTTAATATCCTAATATCATTTAACTTGAAAATTTTCTTTCAATTTTTTTTCTCCCTTTTAATTCTCCGTCTTCTTCATTTTCTTGCTTTATGTTTCTTTTTTTATTTCAACACTTTTATACACGTATATGTATCTTATTTTTTTTTTTGTATATTCTTTGTGGTAGCAGCCGCATGCTCTCGCTCGTAAAGCCTAGCGAATCGACTTGAGATTACTAAGGTAAGAGAAGGAGGTAGAAAAAACAGCGACGACGACAAAGACGACGACGACGACGACAACTTAGACGACGTAGACGACGACGATGAAGCCCCCAAAAAATACGATTGTGGGACGACGATTATTATTACTACGATTATTATTCAGTTTTTGTCATTATTAATTAATTAATTAATTAAATTTATAATTCTTAATCAATTTATTTAATTATTTAATATTATCTTTTATTTATTTATTTAATTATTTAATATTATCTTTTATTTATTTATTTAATTTATTATTTTATTAATTTATTTATTTAATTAATTAATATTTTTTCATTCAAGTTTTCGTCGAGCGTATCTTAATTATTTCATAAATCCTCATTTCAAAAATTCGGGTTGTTCTCTTCTGTGCTTTTCTTTTATTGATATTTTTTAATTTATTTAAAACTGTACTCTCTCGATTCTGATTATCTTCGAAGTGTTCGTAACATTTTTCTCTCCTCTTCTTTTTATTATTTATTTATTTATTTTATTGTAATGTAATTTAATTTACTTTTTTTTTCTTCTTTTCTCCCTATTCTCGCTTTCTCACGTCCCACGTCTTTTCTTTCTTTTTTCTTTTTTTCTATTCTTTCCTTTCCTTTCCTTTTCTTTTCTTTTCTTTTCTTTTTTTTCCTTAATTTAATGAGAGATAAAAGGGGATGCGTTGAATGAACGTCACGTAGACAGAAGTAGAATTAGCATTAATATTAGAAATAGAAATAGAAGTAGAAATAGAAGTAGAAGTAGAAATAGAAGTAGAAGTAGAAATAGAAGAAGAAGAAGAAGGAGAAGAAGAAGAAGAAGAAGAAGAAGAAGAAGAAGAAGCAACGACGATGATGTTTTTGTGAATAGAAATTTCGTAGAACATTGTTGATAACATTTTTGTATAGTCGAGTAATTTCGTTTAAAATTGTCTTTATTTTTGGTTCTCTACGTGCCATCTTTCATTTATTTTTCATGTTTCGGATTTTAATTTTATAGTTAATAAAAATATCCTTGAGACAAGGCATAAATATAGTTTTTTTTAGCACTTTTTTGCATGCTACTCTTTTCAACTTATTCAAATTAATACGTTTACAAAGAAAACACAATAAATTTACTTTTAATTGGATATAATATCTGAAACCATAGAATGGCGACCAATATCATATTTGAAATAAAAATTATCAAGGCTACATATAAAAATTCTTTAACATATATAATGAATCAATAAATTTATTTATTTATAGCTCGTAGAGGTCTCAGACATTATTATATGTATATATATATAAACGATTTCTTTTTTCAACGTTAAAATTTCTACGAAATTCCTAAACTTTTTTTCACGACAATCCGTTGTTTCAAACTTGCACTTTAGGTTTTTATTTTTAATTAATGATATAATAAAGATAATTATAATGCAAATAGAAATTGAAAAGAAGGAAAAGAAGAAAGGAAATTTATGTAAATATATTTATATATGTAATTAAAAAGACAAAGAGAGAAAAAGAAAATTTAGTAAATTTGTTTAGAGGTATGGAAATTTTAAATAGAGATATTAGTATAATATTCCAAACAATATTCGCACTTGCGAGGATGCCTGGAGCCTGACCGAAATTGTGCGAATTTTTTCAATGGAAAAAAATCCTCGATATATTATATATCGGTATATATTTCGACACATATTTATATTAAGGATACGTTCAGATGGATGAAAATATTTTTTTTGTTTAGCGTTAATTCACACGTCGTGAGTGGCTCAAAAAAATTAAAGTTGGACAGAAAATATAACAAAAACAAAACACAAGGAAAAGAAAAAAGTAATAAATACAAAAAAAAAACTGAGTTACAGCGAAAAAAAGCTTTGTTTTTATTCTTATTAAAATTATTATTATCATCATATATATATATATAATATATTGAGGAACGGAGAAATAGTGGAGGTAATAATAATTTCGCGATATAATAATATCACAAACGCACATATGTATGTATCATAACAACGACGACGATGGTAATAATAATTAAAACGACGAGGTATTGTAACGATTCATCCGACTAGTTATCGCGAAAATTGTTTTATTTCGAAAAAATGTAATTATTTCCATTAAAATAGAACAATTAAAAAAAAGGGTTTAGTAAGTGAAATAAAAATAAATAAGAAAGAAAAACATATTATCAAAAACAATACATATTACGAAAACGAAAGATATGATTTATTTTTAATAGAGCAAGAGAAAATAAGAAAAGAAAAACAGAAGATAAAATGAATGTTTGCTTGCTTTTTCACCCTTTTGCTTCGAGCCAACGCGCGAAGGACATCTGAGATCATCAAAACGTATTGTTAAACGTTATCTCAGAATGTCTCGGTAAAGAAGATTACTATAATGCCGATGAAATAGTTGGCTAGGGGTGGGAGGATGATAGCGATTATTTGCACCAACGAGAATGATGTTGATGATGACGATGATGAAGATGGTAATAATGATTATGACGATGACGATGACGATGACGATGACGATGACGATGACGATGACGATGACGATGACGATGATGATGACGATGACGATGACGACGACGACGACGACGACGACGACGACGACGATAATCAGAGTAATATTAATAATAGCAATAGTAGTAATAATAATAATAATAATGATGATAATATATAATTCTTATTTTTTTTTCGACTCTTAAGATTTAAGTAAAACCCATCCTCTCTCTCTGTCATGGGTCTCACGCGCGGTATGCGTGTGTGTATAAGTATATCTGTGTTTGTATGTATGTGTATATGTGTACCCACAGCAGCCCAGGGCGGGCTCTCTTTTAAGAATCTAGTAAAATTCTAAAACCGGAAGCTCCGCCTTAACGACAGGCCAGCTGCCTTCTTTTTATTTTATTTTATTTTATTTTATTTTACTTTTGTATTTTTTTTTACTTCGGCGGAGATAGCTCGTCCGTTTACCGTCTGTATATCTATCTGTCTGTCTGTATATCTGTCCGTCTCTCTCTCATTCTATCATTCTTTCTTTCTTATCTTTTTGTTTTCTCTTTTTCGTTAGACTTTTTCGTGTACATATAAGTATTTAGCGCGCGTGCAAGGCGTCCTGTGTATTCTTTTCTCCTTGACACTGATATCCATCTTCCTTTTCTCTTTTTTTCTCTTTCTCTTTCTCTTTTTCCCTATTTCTTTTAATCCTTTTAGTTGCTCATCAGTTATAAATAATGAAACAACACGCGCCTTCATGTTTTATTAAACATTACTAGATGACTGGCAAGAATGCGAAAGAAACGAACAGGAAGAAGAAGAGTAAGAAGAAAAAGATGAAGAAGAGGGAACAAGAGTGATAGTGAGAAAAAGAGAAAGAAAGAGAGAGAGAGAGAGAGAGAGAGAGAGAGAAAGAAAGAGAGCGAAAGAGAAATAGAGCGAGATATGAAGGTTATACATCGATGCAACGATAATTAAGAGAAAAAAATGGAGAGATTTAAGAGACGTCGTGCACGCGCCATTTTGTTTCGCGATAAAGTCGAACATTTTATTTCATTAGACGCGAGAGTTCATTGTATATTCGTTTATCATCCTTGAGGTAAAAAAAAGGGGGGGGGGAGGCTTCTTTTTATTTTCGAAACATTTTCTTCCTTTTTTTAATTCATTCCCTTCCTTATCCTCTTCTTCTCCTCCTAGTTCTCTTCTTCTTTTTCATCTTTTTCATATTCCTTTTCTTCATTATCTACAACTTTCATCTTATTCATATGTTTCTTCTGTATTTTTTCTTTTACATTTTCTTTCTTCATCATACGACGACGATGGCAATAATACAACGATAATGATAACAATTCGATTCCTATTTTCCACTTTCATTTTTTCGAACTCGTTCGATCTCCTCCTCCTCCTCCTTCTCTTTCTCCTAATCCTCCATTCCCTTATTTTTTTTCTCCTTTTCCTCTTCGCGTCTTTGACGACTTCCGTACTCGATGAAAGGCGCACCAGTGATAACAGTCGTGTGGGAGAGACGAACAATGCTTGTTTGTATCTTATTCGGAGGCGGCGATGACAGCATTTGGGACTTACGGCCCATCTTCGCCGTCTAAAAACAAAATTTCAAGTATAATAATTATTATTTTTCATATAAATTTCATTTAAAATAATGTTATTAAAGTTTGGCGAATCGAAAGCCCCCACCATTGCAATTGAATGTTCGAATCCTAAATTTGGCACGGTAAATTTTTTTTTTAAATATTAATAATAACAAAATACAAATCATTATTAGCAATTAATAATCGTAAGATGAAAATACAATTGATTATTTTTGTTTATCGTTCTACCTCTTGTTATCAAATTATTATTATTATTAGGTAGAATTATAATTGAAGATATTTAGAGGGTTTAAATTCGAAACGAATATTTTAAAAAATAATAATAAATTGTTATATTTCTCATAAATAAATAATTATTATCGCGTTAAGGAGATAGTAGAATGATGATGCGTTACATAAGTGTGACCTTTTCAGTTTTTGTTGTAGATCTGAGAAGATGAATATCGTACCTTGATTGGACGTGTGTGTGGCTCACGATTGTGGTTGCGGTGTGCTTTGGTCTCGCTTGTCTCCTACAGGAGTCGACGGTTTTATCACCGGTTTTTCCTCGTTCACGGGAGTCGGCGGGGCGTCCTTCCTCGGTGGCATTCTTTCGTTTATAGCATCTAACCCCTTTGCTTCGGCGAATGAGGTGATTTTGTGATTCGGTGAAAATCCTTGGAGAGCTAAGAAAGCAAAAAAAAAAAATAGAGCAAATGATTAATAAAGTTGACAATGTTTTCTATTTTAAAATTTTCTTCTTGATTCTTATTTTATTTTTCAAATTATTATTAATATATAATGTGCTTCTGCGATAATTTGCAAATTTCTAAAATACAATCTAATATAGATTTATGTATTTTTTGATTTTTATTCATTTTATTACGATTTTCTGAAAGGTATTTGTTACAACAATAAAAATGAGATAGTATTAAATACAAATTAACAAAAATATTTATTTAAAATATAAAATAAGAAAACAAGTATCAATGTATAAAAGTATATTAATAATATTTAATGATGCATGAGTATTAATCCCATTCCTAATGATTATAAGAAAAAGATTTTTAAAGCATAATTAATTTTATTTTTAATTATAAGCTTTGATTCTAAAACAAATCTAAGTTAATGAATAAATATTGAATGATTTATGTAAATTATTAAATAAATGGTGGTGTTTAACCCCTTAAGCAACACGCTCGAGTTAACTCAAGCGGCGTATTATTTTATATTTCTATGATTTTTTACACTCAAATATAATAGAAAATTGAAAATAAGAATGTGAAAGCAAAGAAAAAGAATCGTTTTATTGATATTTATCATTTACAAGCTATAACAATTATTTATTTATTAATAAAATATAACCTTTTTCCATGGAACAAAATCCAAAATTAACATAAAAATATTGATTATTTCTGTATTTTAAAATTTTTTTTGTCAAAACAATGTTCTAAACTATGCTCTTATGAAAAAAAAAAGATTTTTTTTGACCGTTTTTTTTTCAAAATGCTTGCTGCTGAAAGGGTTAAGCTGGAAAATGATATCACTTTCAGTTCTGCGATACAAAAACTATAACTATTAAAAATAAAGTTTTATTGAATTTTTTTTATCAAATACGCAAGAAAAAATTGGGTAGCACACTTGATTGAGTGGTGCTACCACATTTTTGTGTGTGTGCAGTTTTGTTATATTTAAGAGAGAGAAGAACGAACATTGCGAAATTCCGACTTCCACCTGCGTACATAGGCGGTATCCATAGACAGCAAATAACCCAAAACTGACCAGACTCGATCCTGAGATCATTGCCAGTAAATGATCCCACATACATATTCTGGATGGATTTAGACAATTTAGCTGTCTATGGTTATCGCTTAGAATGGACAAAGTTTAGAAATATAAGGGCTCGTTTTCACAATATGTATTTTTTTTTTTTTAAGAATTCTAATATAATTTAATTTTTTCTTGTATAATTTAATATAATTTAATTTAATTGTGTAATAAAGAAAATTCTTTTTTCGGAACAAAATCGATTTAGTGAATCAATTTAGTCGTTTTACGATATGTGTAAAACATTCAAAGTTTATACGAATAACAAATAATAATAATTATAATTAAAAAAAAAATGAATTTGTCGATTCTATTTATTGGACATATGTTTGTCTCTTTTTCTCTTTTTAATGACGTAGCCGTTTCGTTCCATACTTTCGTTTTTTCCGGTTTTAAATCACTCCGATTCTAAAGTTTTTACTTTAAAAAGTAATATTTACCATTTTTTAAGGATGTCTTTCCACCAGACAACGCACCAAGTGGTAGGGCTCCAGTGGGTGTGAGACCCTTTAATTGTAGCACGCTTTCGCTCTCCTCCCTAAGAATGAAACCAATATTTATATTTCGTTCGTATTTTATTTCTATATTTTATTTGTTTTCTTGTACATATATACAAAATAATGGTGTCCCATACAACTCTTTACACGATTTTTAAACTACTTGCGATAACCGGATAAAAAAATACTTTGAAAAAAAGTTGATCTGTTTTTGATTGACTATACATTATAATAAAAAAAAGTTAAACAAAATTTTTTTTAGTGTTTTTTAAGACTACCTTTACTTTTTTCAAATGGTACCTTATATTTTTACCTTACAGTTTTATAGCCCGTATTAATACAAATTCAACGAACATATATATATATGCAAAAAATTACAAACCTTAGGACGGAGAAGACACGCGCCATCTTGCCGATAGCTCTGATCTTGTTTCTTATTACTTCCTTGCGTAGATTTGCTGCTGCACCTATAAAATTGACAAGTATCGTTTTAAAAATGTTTTTTTTTCTTCTTTTTTTTTCCATATGAAAGTAAAACTTTTACATAATATTATATATTTTATCGAACGATCGTCAATCTCACAAAAACAAAACACGAAACGTTTGAAACAATTTGTTCATGATTTTTATTTTTGTTTTTTTTTTCCAAAAATTTCGAAATAAAATAAAATTATATTATACTTTTACATTATCGTTGAAATTTTTGTTTTGCTTTTGTGAAATAATCGTCGATAATTATTTCTCCTTGCGAAAATATTCGTAGGATTATTATTAATTCACCTTACGTTCAATCGTAATTCAACAATATCATTATTATTGTTTAAAAATTCATTAGCTTGTCACTCTCGTTAAGGTCGAGTTACGGCAAAAAACAACGTCCAAGCCAAAAACTCGGTGCACGCGACGAGCGAGTGCATATATTAGTTGCGTCCAACGGGTATATATATATGTATATAATATATAAATAACAACTTGCATATCAGCTATTAAGTAAAAAAAAAGAGATTACATCTAATATATATATATATTATATATATTATGTTTCTTTCTACGGTATCATAAAATAAATCTAATTTAACATTCTAATGGTAACGTTCGTAAAATATACCAATACTTTCCTCAATTAATTTATTTCATTAATATCTTTTTTTAATAAAATCGATATTATTTATTAACCCTTAAATCCATGTGTTTGTAGAAATTTAAAAAAAACAATATTAATGTTCGTTGTAATTTAATTTACTAATAAATTTCAACGAATAAGATTATAAGAATAATTGTTACTTTAATTGAATAACTCCTTGATTCGTATTATAAAATAATTATTTGTTTTTCCTTTTTCTCTTTTTTTTGTTCAATTTTATAACCTTTCATTTTAAAGAATAAAAAGGTCATGTATAAAAGAGTTAATTTTTATTATAAAATGAAATGAGAGAGAAATTTACGAACGTTAATCTAATATAACAATTCTATGATGCAATCAAGCGAAGCTATATGAGGTGAACAAAAATTGTGCATATAAATATAATTATTATATATATACCATAGACGCATATGTACATATTTGTATCCTATATAATTATATATGTATATATGTATATATATATTAGCTCTTAACAGTTTTGTCTTCTTAAAAAGGAATGCATAAAAATAATAAATAAACGCATGCGCATGCTGGATAAGCACAAAAACGTACGCACCGTGCGGCCACTAAAGATATGCGGCAGTGGATATCTTTCATTTTTTGACCACTTCCATCGGTCGTTATTAATTTCTTAGCGCTCCGTCGTTTTCTTAAAATTACTATTACATTTTAAACCTACATCGCGAAGTATCGGACTCGAGACGAAAGACGAAACGGCTATAATAATAATAATAATATATATTCCTTTTTTTTTTATATTTTCGCTAATATTTTCTGATTCCTATTTCTACTTTGTTCTTATTAATTTTTTTTTCTTTTCTAAGGAATTTTTCTTTTGTCAACTATTCCCTTAATTTGTTACTTTTTTTTGTTCTATCTGTCCAATGAATCTTCAATTTTTTTCCTCAATCCTTAATTTTTATTTTTAATGATAAACACGCGACAGGGGTTTGAATAAAAAAAAATTTAAAAAAAGGAAAAAAATGTATATATATATGAAGAAATAAAAAAAGAGAGAAATGCGGCACATAGAACGACGTACTTCACTACTTACTCATACAACAGATCAGGCCTTTGCTCTCTATACATACACTCATGTGTCAACTTAAACTGTATGTACATACGTACTCGGAATATATATATATATACTTATTGCGGTGGTGAATATTTATATATATATATTTTTATCTATACTTGTTGATTGATTAAGAAAGATCTCATAAAACGATGTAAATGTTACGATAAAAATGTTTTCTTCTCCTCATTTACCATCGTAATATTCATTATACTAATTAAAAACACCACAGCAATCAAGTATTCTAACGGACTAACATTCATCGTGGTTTCGGCACCGAGTTTTCGAAACAAAGGTCCAACGTAATCTCTTGGAGAATAATATTTTTTTTTTTATCGTTTAATCCAGCGTTATTAATTTCTGTTTAAAATGCTCCATGAAATTGTCAGACCTCTGTGAGCTTCAAATATACGCACGTCGCCTGTATGTAAAAATTATAATCTAGATTTTAAAAATAATTAAAAGATTCATTATATATCATTCTTATGTCGATGTTATTAATATTACGTATCATTTAAAATTACGCCATATATATTTGAGAGATAAAAATAAAATAAAGTAAATTTCATAATATTTGCCCGTAACAAAAAATACATATTAGACGTTATCGACTTTAAAATGATAGATTTAGTATTCCGTACAAAAATTAGTTTCAAATATTACATTAAAATATGTAAACTTTGTTTATACTATGAAGAAAAATAAGATACAAAAATTTGTTGTTCCGCTTGATTGATTAGAAAAAAAAAGATACAAATAATTTCGTATCCGATTGATTTGTATGACAGCTACAGGCGACGTTACGTATTACTACGTTCCTGAAAGTATCCTCTACAAACGAATAATTGTTTTGCGATGCCTATGCATTAGCAACGTTAATTAGCTTCGCCGATGCCTCGTCTCGTGGTACCGCTTCGCATATCCAATAGGAAAGGATCTTATACCCAATGGCGAATCAGATAAGTTTCATGTTTATTCAATTTCGTAATTCCGATTTTGTAATAGACAACAAAATCTAATCTAATCTTTTCTCTTCTAAACGTTTTCTTTTTGTTTTTCATCATGAATTAAAATCGAATTTCTTTCCAATTTTCTTCTTTTCAAAAATAATAACCATTGGATGCTAGGATTTATTCCTATTTGTAAACACTATTATCGAAACGTGGAAGATTATCTTAATCATGTGACTCAACGCAATTCAATTCCGTAAAAAAATTGAAAAAAAGAGTGTCAAAAAAATTAATTAAGGAAGAAAAAAGGAATACTTAAGAGTCGGTGTAAACAAATCTAATCGCATACTGGATGTTTTTACGAATAATTTCATAATATTTACAAGTACATTTTAATACTAAAAATGATATTATTTAATTTGAATTATTATCGTCATCTATAATGATTAACATTTCTAATTGTATTTTAATTAAAATTATAGCGATGGAAAACATCCAGTATATTGAAAATCAAGAAGAAAATATTCTTCAATTATATTGTTTACCTGGTATTCCGTAAAATAAAAGATAAAAATAAAACAAACAGGATCGCATGTGAAACCATTTGTCGTCCAGTTCGTATCTCGGATTCGTAAAAATCGACTCGTAAAAAAGGAAATACGAAAAGTGTTGTATGTTCGAAAGAAATGGAAAGAAATGGAAGAAATGGGAGAAAGGAGAAAGGGGAGGAGGAGGGGGAAAATAAAAAAAAAATGGGAAAAAATACGTAAATACGGTCAAGTCCACATAAGATATATCCTCCACGGACGAATAACAGTGTTCGAGCACTTTCAAGAGAAAAGGACTCACCGTACGCGATGGTAGGTGGGGTCAGACCGGACCGTCGGGTTACCATCGGGATATATGTACACCATGGTGGCCATTGGTACACCATTGGTTCACCGATGGTGAGCGTGGACGTGAGAAAAAGGACAGAAGTAACCAACAATGTGAGAGCAGCGTCAATAAGGCCAAAGATAAAAGATTGATGGAAAGAGAAAGAGAAAAAGAGAGAGATGGAAAAAAAATAATAGAGAGAGAGAAAGATAGATAAGGGAAAGACAAAGAGATAGATAATAGATTAAATTTGGGTTAGGAAAAGAAGGATAGAAAATTGTAGCCGTTAGATTGGAAATAGGAGACATATTTGTTTTTTGCTCGGTCGATGGTGGTTTTTCGAATGGTGGTTGGTTGGTTGGTTGATTGGTTGGTGATGATGGTTATAATTGGCGTAGGTTGTAGTAGTAGTAGTAGTAGTAGTAGTAGTAGTAGTAGCAGTAGTAGTAGTAGTAGTAGTAGTAGTTGTAGAGTGTCGACGTAAAGAAAACAACACATAGAACAGACAAGAAAAAACGTGTGCGTTAGCATATACGTGGCATTCGATCAAAAAAAAAGCTTAGTGCTCCGAACGAATTAACGTTCCGTCTTCGTTTTCTCATTCGTAATCGAGTCAACCCAATGAACTTGCGAATGAGTTTGACGTAGTTTTTTTTCGATTATTCCTCTTCAGGTTCGGTTTTATTCGATCTGTGTTGTTGTTCACGATTACGTCCAAATTGGTTGAAGATCGGGACGTGTTGAATGCGTAAAAATTTTTGCTGCGGTATTACATTAATTTTATGAGAATTCATTTTAAAAGTTGAAATATTATTTAACAAAAATTGTTATCGCGAGATCATAGGGTTCTCGATTTGATAACTTCTTTTTTGAAAGAGAGAGAGAATAAAAAGATAATAATAGGGAGTAAAAAAAGAGAAAAAGAGAGAAAGAGCGTGTGAAAGAGAAAGAAAAAGAGAGAAGTAGATTGGTAAGATAGTAAAAAAGAGGACAAGAGTAATAGAGAAAATAGTCGAAAGATTTTCTTATTTCGTTACGAAACGCGAATACTGAAAGCAAAAGAACATAATTAATTAGTGTGAAAAAGATAAGACGATCGGCAGTCCGCATCGATATTGTGATTCGAAGAAAAACATTCATTTTCCAGTTATTTTTTATGTACATTTATTTCGAAGATTTTAATTCGTTCAAGATCTATTTCTTTTGATATATTTTTTAATTCTTCTTTCTGTTACATATTTTCAAATATTTTATTTAATAATGAATAGTAAAATTGATATTATTGAAGAAAAAGAAAAATATAATATAATAAACTTTAAAATGAATTTATCAGAGTACTTTTAATAATCGTATTAATGTTTTGCTCTAAATAAAAATCGCAATTAATTAATTCTTTTCTTTTTCATTACGTGGTAATTTTTA